GGTCACCAGCGACTGAGCAGAGGGGAGGCTGCCCAAAGACTACGGTTGGAAGCAGCTTGGTAATGAGTCCCCTTACCCAGGAGACAACCCTTCCATTGAAGCAAGGTAGGCGAGCATTGTCATCGGAGATCTCTTCCTTCACCACCCTGCAGAGAGAGCAGAGTGATTAGTAAGGTGCCAGGCATGATGGAGTAGATCTTCGATTCTAACACTTGGGAGGCCGAGGCAGGAGGCAATCAGTGAGCCAGGGTCACACACACACACACACACAGCTGGGCAGTGGTGGCACACGCCTTTAAGCCCAACACTCTGGAAGCAGAGGCAGTCGATCTCTGAGTTTGAGGCCAGCCTAGTTGACAGAAGAGAGTAGAGAGTACCAGGACAGCCAGGGTTCTACAGAGAAACCCTGTCTCAAAAAAAAAGGGGGGGGGGAAAGGGGATGGGCTTAGGCTTGGGGATTAGTAAGGCTAAACTAGTCACCCCCATTCCAAATCTCACCCAATCTCCATCCAGCCCAAGCACAGGAACTCTCTGCTGCCCTGATTAGTAGTCTGTTTTCTTCCCCTCATGTATACATATACATGTGTGTGTGCATGGCTGTCACGTGAGGGTACTTGCAGAGGACAGAAGAGGGTATTATCTCCTCTGGAGATAGTTACAGGTAGTCAGAAGCCACCAGTGGACACTATGAATAGAATGAATGAACTAGCATCTTCTAAACCAAATATCTAGACCTCTGTGGTGTGTGTGTGTGTGTGTGATTTTGTACCCCTAGTTGGCCTGGATTCACTTATGTAGGCCAGGTTGTCCTCGAACTCACAGAGATCTGCTTGCCTCTGCCTCTCCATCCCTGGCTATGCCACAAGGCCAGCATGCATCACCATGCCCGGCTCCTCTGCTTTTACAGTGAAATAATTTGCTTTCATGTATCAATAAATAAACACTCCAGACTCTCATCTTATTTTATCCCACCGCCATCCCAACTCATCCTTAGAGGAACAATGCTGCTCCAAAGACTTCTTCCCATTTGATCCAAACCTCAAAGTACCACTCCAAACTCCCTGTGGGACAGTTCCCAACAACTGCTCCAAATATCTACCTTAGGAGCCCAGCTGGCAGCCTAAGCATCTCTGTCCTACACATCTGTCCCATAAAAGCCTCTGGCCCTCATGTAATCTGCTGCTTTTCTCTCCCTTTTATTTCTCTTTAATTCACATCCAGAGACCGCCCAAATGTGTGACTTTTGCTGTATATAAACACCCTTAAATGCAACAATAATACTCCATGTGTGGAAAGCTCCCACAGACAGAGGAAGCTGGGCTTCCCATTTCTGGGCTACCTCACCTCACTAAGCGATCTGCTCAGCCTGAAAAATCCCAAAGCCCAGCCTCCCACAGGTTCCTGCAGTGGCCTAGACCTGTTCCTTCTCATAGCCACAAGAAATCATTAGTACCTATCTATTTAACATGTGCCCTGGGTGTACGGCACAAGGCCTCACCTTTGTGAGCATCAGCAAATCCACACTGACGAACTATGAGCCATGAGCCATTCTTTCACATACATAACACTCTCACCCGCAAATTAGAACTTCTTGGGGGTGGGGATGAGGGTTAGAGAATTGGCTCAGTGGTTAAGAGCACTTAGTGTTCTTGTACAAGACCCAGGTTTAATTCCCAGAACCCACCTAGTGGCTCACAACTATCCATAATTCCAGGCCCAAGGGATCTGACTTGTCTCGGCTAACCTTCACAGGCACCAGGCATGTACATAGTGCACACAAATACATGTCTGATTAACTCTAGCCTAATATACTCTGGGGGCTTAGGTATATGCTTCATGAATGCATTTGCTGTTAAGACAGCACAGCTCTGTCACCACAATCTACTCAACATAATACAACTCTTCCCAACATAACCCTACATGGCCCAGTCTCTTCCAAAGCAAGCAATTTTGTATCCTATAATCTAGTTTATGAACTAGTTAGCCTTAATACCAAAATCAAATTACCAGTCACTAAGAATGTACCATGTGCTGTCCACCTAAATTAAGCATTTTACACTATGATTATCACCATACCGAAGATGAAGAAATCGAAGCACAAAAGCTAAATGAATTGCCCAAAGAATTGCAAAAAGAATAACCTTGATGTAAATCCAAGACAACTCCTTAGATAATATCTCGTTCTCCACGTCAAACAATCTTTAACGAGGGTCCAGTTTATTCAGGTAGCTGAGGAGGGTGTGCTCCAACCACAGGGACTTTCACAGGTTAAGAAGTCTCTCCCCAACCCAGGTGGTAGGTCACCCTTTTCTCCCCAGTAGCCTGCTATCCCTGTTTATAAACTCAGGACATCAGAGCCTAACGGCAGTCTGAGCCTGAGGCACAGAAGGCTCAGTCTCAATAGCTACAACAACAACAAGAACAACAACAACAACAAAAGACTGCCTTCCTCTGCCTTACTCACAGTCCCAGTCCAGCCCAGGATCACCCGGCATGACACAAATCATCCCAGAGCTCAGTTTATTCTGGCCAAGCCCTCAGTGTCTCTACACAAGCAGCCCTCTGCACCACGCTGACTACAATACCCTATTCTGCTGTGATGTATCACCAGTCTATTTGTTCTTATTTGTCCCTGTTTTGTAACATAAGAAACCCACGGTCTAGGCCAGGCATATTGATTGCCACACATAACTAGTTCCAGCACTCTGGATGCAGATGTAGAGGCAGGACTGTTACAAGTTCAAAGCAACCCTGTTTTTTACATTGTGTTCTAGGCAGCTTCAGTAACAGAAAGAAGTTCTGGCTCAGCAGCAGACTGACTGGCTCGGCAGAGGACTGGAGTTCAATTCCCAGCACACACAGTGGCTAGCATATGTTAACTCCCGTTCTAAGAGATTCCATGCCATCTACTGGATTCAGTGGGCACTGCATGCTTGTGGTACACAACTATGCATGCATGCAGGACACAGGAACACATAAAGTACCTTTTGTTTGTTTTGTTTTGAGACAAGGTTTCTCTGTGTAGCCCTGGCTGTCCTGAAACTCACTCTGTAGACCAGGCTGCCCTTGAACTCAGAAATCTGCCTGCCTCTGCCTCCCAAGTGCTCAGATTAAAGATGGGCACCACTGCCTTCCACATAAAATATCTTTAAAAAAACAAACAAACATGCAAGCAAACAAAAAAATCCTCCAACTCTCCTCAGCCCTGAAAAAAAAAAAAAAAAGGTTCTGGACCTAAGAGAAAATAAGAACCCAGAAGAGTCCAGAATAGTACATGCTTTGCCAGAAAAATCTACCTCACAACAGCCTAATATATCCCAATAGAGCTTTCTCTGCATTATTACAGATTGCACCATCCTGAAATAATACTATGGAACCTAATTAATAAGCCAGAATAGCCTAAGTTGGCTCACTATAGCCCAGTCTACATAAAGACACTGCATGCCCAGCGTATTGACTCACACCTGTTCATTCCAGCTCTGGAGGCTGAGGGAGGAACTTTATGAGTTCGAAGCCAACCTAGGATACAAAGAATAAAGGCCTGCCTCAAAACAAAAGAACAAATAACAAGCAAACAATCAAAAAAAATTACAGAATATCTCTATCTAACTCATGTGCAGGCGTCTGAAAGCATACCAGTTTACCAAAAGATAAATAACTCAGCATAGCCTAGAATATCCTCAAGCATCACTTCTCTGCCTTTTGGCTAAAATCATGGGGAGAAAATGACCAAACAAACCAGTGTTCCCCATTTTTCCAACCTAATTTTCTCGCCTCTGATTTCCTAAAAATCCAGCCCGTTCTTCCGTGTGTCCAAACATAACCTTGTCCGTCTTGGGATGAGCTTTCTACCTTAACACAGCACAATACGCTATGCTCCACTACAGGCCAGAAATATTCCAAGGCAGACCGGTCTCCCTCAATATCGCCCAATCCACTCTAGCACACCGACCATCCTTCCCAGTCTAGGCCTCGCGCTTACCCAAAATCCTGATCCATAGACTTGAAAAAGTACTTAGCGCCCGCGGGCCGCTGCAAAACGCTCTTGAAATCGCCCAGAGTGATGCGCTCCGCTGGGACAGGGATCTTCACCAGGTAAGGAGTCTCTTCTTCATCCAGATGGTAAATCACCTTCGTCTCGCCTACACCACCGCCCCCCGCGCTGCTGCCCGCCATGGTCTCGCTCGCGCGCTCCCGGGCTCAGCCGCCCACCCAACAGGACTAAGCGCCCCCGCCGCGCCTGCGCACACCCGCAAACTGACGCGCTAGCGCCAACAGTGCAGGGCCAGTGCGGAAGACGTGCCCAAGGAGGATGGCGTGGAACAGCCGGCTGATCGGGAAGAGCCGTGTATCGGGACTCAAAACCTAGACCCACAGTCGAGGGCCACTACCACGGACGTCGCGAGCAGCACCGAGGTCCCCGCCCACCTCCCCATGCCACGTGATCCAAGCCCGCCCACTTTGCGCAGCGGACTGTCCTTCACGTGACTTCCTTAAGTCACGTTACTACAAGCTCCACCCAGACAAGACACTCACGTGACCAATGCCTAGAGCAACGGTCTTCAGCCCTAAACGACTCCGCCCACAAACGTGCACACCGTCCCCCCTACCCCCCAAGTACCTTAGCAGGCTTCTACTCTTGGAATACTGGCAACTGGCCCCCACTTTGCTTTACCCAACCGAGGCTCAAGACACCTCACTAGCAACTATTAGAGGGGCAGGGGTATGGGCTGGTGAGAATTGTAACTTGGGCCCTTAGGGTAGCTCCTAGACTGTACTTGGGATGAGAAAGCTGAAAGCTAGTCCTTTAGAGCTGACGTGGACGGAGGGGATGAAGAGCATCAGTGTCTCCTATAGTCCAAGCCAGATTTTGCCCCTAAATTTTCCATCTCCACCTCCCAAATTGTGGAATTACAGCCCTGGATTAATTAAGCTCCAACTCCACCCAAGACTTCCACCAGGTTTCCCAAAGATCCCCTCCCCAAATAGGACAACAAGAGTTGTAAAACACAAGAGCCCACTCTGCTTTATTTACAACACGTAGGCTGTCTGTACAAGCAGCCAGCCAATATTATTAAAAACAAGGCGAGTGATAATTGACACCTTTTGCTTTCCTTCCTTACTCCACCAGGCTTTGGTTCTCCACTTTTGAGCAACCTTGCTCAAATGGGGGAGCCCAAAATTAAAAATACATCCGGTGTAGAAGAAAGTAAATGGGAGATAGAAGAAACATGAGGAGGGGAGTGCTGTATTTACACTACAGTTTGATAGACAACTATCCCATCACATCCCAGTTTGAGCCCTGGCCCTGAAAGTGAAAAGGGTGGAGGGTTCACTGGACAGAGATTTTGTCTACAGATCCAGCCTCCCCTAACCCAACTGTCATGGGTCAATTTCAAGTCCATGGAGCAGGAAGGACAGAGTAGAAGACATTTCCAAACACGTCTCCCTTGGGAATTGTGGCCCTCAAGTAGGGACAGCCTCCTCTATCCAAGGGAAGGCTGGAGACTCTGAGGCTCAGTTCCCTAGTAATGTCAGAAGTTCCAGCCTTAAACAGTGACGTCAGGGTTCTCCAGATTTGGGGAGACCCCCTAACCGCCGGGCCTCTGGCCGAAGTTCCTTGCATTTCTGGCAATAAAAGAAGTCAGGAACATTGGTCTTCTTAATCTTAGCACAGGAGAGGTGGATCCATGTCCCACAGAGGCTGCACTCAATCATGGGCCGCCCGGCAAAGGGCTTTCTGCAGTAACACGTGATCAGATCCCATGAATCATCACCTGGGAAAAAACGTTTGTTTAGTGTTCTGCTTCACAGCTTACGCACTTGTAAGAGCCCCCAAACCCATCACCCCGGCTACCCACCCCGGGGAGCCCGATTTCTCACCTGATTCTACCATGATGTCCTCATCCATGACCCTCATCTCCCCTTCACTCGAGCTGGCATCTCCATCTTGGCTTGTTTCTGTGCTGCCCACATCTTTGCCTTCACTGTCAGTAGGGGGAGCACCTTCAGGGTGCACTGTAAGAGGGGGCCTGGGGGCTTCAGGGGGTGTTGGGAGCACAGGGGCTGGGACTCCACCCCCTACTACTGTCATTTCTTCCTCATCATCTTCCTCTTCCTCTTCTTCCTCCTCCTCTTCAGAGTCTGTATCACTGGGAGGAGCCCTAGGAGGGCCAGGAGGTGGGAGCCTATCCCCCCGATCTGCCTTTTTCAACTTCCGCTTCTTGCTCTTCTTGATTCGAGACCGTTTTTCCCCATCCCCAGGAGCTGGTCGAGGTCTCCGAAGCACCCCAAAGCCAGCCCCACCTCCTGGTCCCAATTTTCTATTCTTTCGGTCCTTCTTTCGAGGCTGGGAGAGGTCCCCCTGGGACAGTGGCACTGGGGTGAGCGCGGCAGGGGGCCGGGAGGTATGCGTCAGCGATGTGGGAGACAGTGGAGATGCCACTTTGGGCCCATCCAGATCAAACAGAGAGTCCTTGAGCTTCATCTTCTCAAGCAGAGTAGCACTGTCAGGGGCCTGCAGACGAGAAAAAGTGGACCTTGGGGGTCCTGGCTGGGTAGGACCTGCTTGAGCTGCCCTTCTCTTTGATGACTTTGCTTTCTTAACAAAAGTCTGGATAGTTCGAAGGTCCGATGGGGCTGAGTCCCAGCCATCACTGTCTGCTGCACTCTCACCTCGCAATGGAGAGCTAGAGCCAGAAGCTGGCCAATCGCTTTCCTTAAAAGGAGGAAGAAACTAGGGTCAGCCGGAGTCTAGTGACAGCTCAGTCCTGCCACATATCCAACATAAAAACCAGGAACTAGATGTATCCCTACCCCAAATCTGACATGTACTCTAACCCCACCTTCTCCACAGTCCCACCGGGGCCTTTAGAAGGCAAAGGCCACAGCTGTACTTCCGTAACTGTTTCAGGATCTCATCTGCTAGGACACTCATCTCCCTACGGCTTACCTGGAAACACTTTCTGTTATCAGCCACTCGAAACTACTAAAAGATCTTGAGCAACACTCCAAAGTTTTGTTACTGCTGTTCAAAGCAGCTATTTCCATCCCTCCAAAACAGCTTTCCCACCAAAGTCCTAAGGGCTTCCAGTTTTCTTAGTCTTACATACTACAGTAAGGTCTTCCTATAAAGTAATTCACTCTGACTCAAGTCAGCTACTTTTCTGTTCCTTACCTCTTTGCTAGGGGGGATGTAACCAGCATAGGCCAAGACAAAACTGCAGAATTTGTTAAAATCTTCAATTGTTCTCCGCCGTTTCTCCGGTGGCTAAAAAGAAAGACAAACATGATCGCACGGAAGCCCTCCCGAAAATACAGCTCCTAAATTGTCTGGCAGTGCACTGGTATGGGACAGCTCACCTGAGTCTCTGGCTTAAGAGTCGGAGGCGGATCTGTGAAATCAATAAAAGCTGAGTCAAGGCACTAGGAAAGAGTCTGTGTAAAATCCTACCTCTAAACCTCGGAGTTCCCGACCTAATCCCATCCACAGTTAGGTCGCCTGGCCAAGCCAGCCAGCCCCCAGCTGTGCCGGACCCGCCCCTGCTCCCCCTTCCTCCCCAAGGGGCGGAGCCTGGGCGCGGCGCCCTCACCGGCCTCGCTATAGCGCTCCCCTTCCCCCAACCAGAGGCCCGGCGCCCCGCCCCCTCCCAGCCTCTCCAGTCAACTCGGCTCTCTTGGCGCCCCACCCCGCCATACCGCTCCCGGGGCGAGACCAGGCCACCGCCCGCCCCCGTCCTTCACACGCGCCCGGAGCTCAGAGTTCCTAGCCGGCCGCGCTCCACTGCCCTGGGCCCTCCAAGACCGCACACGCCGCCTGCCCGCCCCCAGGGTCCAGGATGACCACGCTGAACTGCCTCCCCGCCCTCCGGCCCCTTCTACTCGAACACGAGGCCGGGCGCGCCCCTCACCCCCACCCAAAACACACACAGGCTCACACTCCCAACACTACTTCGCGTCCCGGACAGGCAAAGAGCAGCAGCCCGGACACAGCCCCTCCTGCCCCCCACCCCACCCCGTGGCCGCGCTCCCCACAATTTCGCTGTCCCTCCGCCCCCATCCGGGGCTTTAGCCCCTCCCTCCCCGTCTCGAGCTCTTCGGGCTCCCTGCCGGGCCCCCGGGCCCAGTTCCGAGCTTCTCCGGCCGCCCCCCTCCCGCCCCCGTACTCAGCGAGTCCCTGAGGCTACGGACCCCTAAACTCTAGCCCCCGTCATCATCCAGCCACTCCACAGAAGGGCCCCTGACGCCGCCGCTGCCCCCCAGTACACTCCACAACTCGCAAGCTCTTGCCCTAGCCGACCAACCCCCCACCCGCGCAAGTTGCCGGTCTTAACCCCCCCACCTCGCCCCGCCGCCCCTACAAGTACCGGGTTAGCCTCGCTTCCCAGTTCTCTGGCCCCACAACTACCCCTCAGTCTCGGGCTCTCTACCGGAGACAATACCCAGACCCTCTCTTCACTCCACAACTACCTGCTCACCCCTCTAACAATCACCAAGCTATCTCTGGCGGCAACTACTAGGTGTTCAAGCGCCACCGTCACAAACTCCCCCACCTTGGCCAACTACCGGGCCCCTCACTCAATCCTCTTCGTGCTCCCTCAACTACTCTCCGGCAACCAGATTCCCTCAGCCTCTCTGTCTCGGAGCGCCAACCAGTCCGAGGCCTTTTCAGCCCTGAGTCCCCGAAGCTAGGTCTCCAGCGCCTATCCCCAGACCCCTCACCGCCACTATCCACACCGTGCCTGATGTCTAACTATCCTGACCCAGTCTCCCACTCCTCTTTCTCCAAGGTATCTCAACTCATCGCCCTTCCACCTCAAGAGCCAGGGCCCCGACCCCTTTTCCCGCACTCCTCTGCTGGGTGCCGGGGCTCGACCTCCAACTTTGCCCATTGAATCCTCACCCGCTCCCTGTCCTCTGTGCCTATGGAGCGCTTACCTTCGGGACTGGGCTCCGCCATGGCTTCCAGCATCGCCCCCTCCCCTCCACCCGGTCCGGCGACCCCCTCCTCTAAGCCGGGATTCCCGGTACTGCCTTGGGTGCTCCGTGTTTCTACTGCCTCGCTCCACCGTAGTGTCCGCCTTGGCGCGGTTGAGACTCCAGTCCGCTACCGCCACCTCCCTCTACCACTGCCTCCCGCACTCCCGGACCGGGCCCCCTCCCCCCGCACCGCCGGCCGCCTGCTCCCTCCTCCTCCTCTCCTCCCTCCCTTCTCCCCCTCCCCGCCGGCTCTGTCGCGCAGTGCACCAAGGGATTTGTAGTCTGTGCAGGGGCAGCGGAAAGAGGCATGCAAGATCCTCCGGAACTCCAGTTCCCAGTAAGCCACGGATTGGCGCAGGCGCAACAAACAACTTCCTCCCACCACCAGGGGAGTGGCGGGGAGGTACGAGGCTGGGGGGCGGGGGAGGGGGGGGAAGGGAGCGGAAGAGTGCGCACTGACTCCCGGGAAGTGTAGGCTGGGCGGGACCAAGAAAGTAGACGAAGAAGGGATTATAACTCTCGGCCACCATACTGCCTCACTTTGTACCTTCTTTTTACCCCCTCAGGGAACCGCCCCACTTCCGGCCAAAAGGAGAAATGGATGCTGGGAGATGAAGTTCTCCTAGTGATAATGGCACCTCCTAGTACTTGTCCTCTCTCAAATTCTACTTTACAGAATCTCATACACTGGCACATCCTCTGCCAGTGACAGCCAGTTAAAGACAGTCCTTTTACCACCTCCCAAACATGAACATATCTTCTTTAATGCAAAGTAACATTTGGATATGCTTACCTAAAAATGGTACTTTGAAACTTTCTCCACACCACCCCACAATATCAAACCACCATCTCTTTGTTTATATCACAACCCAATATACGCATAAATAAAATAAAAAGTTTCATGAGATAATGCTCACATTATTCCACTCATCAAAAAAAAGGGAAATACCAACACCAATAACGCGTGTCTATTTCTCAAGCTTTCTCCTTTCCCACCACTGAAGTTCACGACTCTTGAAACAAAACACCAGGAGGTGGAATAAAACAGGGCAAATTCAATTCAGCTCGGTGGTTTCCTCTTTATTGATGTGCCTCCTACCTCCCCTACCCAATGTCAATCCCTTCCATCTACCCCCCCAAAAAAAGGTAGTGAAAGGAAGGGATTATTGGGGTTTTGAGCCCGATGGGCAGTTAGAAAGGGAATAGAAACCAAAACAATCATCAGATGTGACAGAGATTGACAATCAAGAAGTCTAAAGCAGAGTGGGAATGGAGGGTAAACAAAAGGAAAGAGAGATGTACAGAGGCTGTATCTACCATTACCCCCCCTGCTGAGAGGGACTGGAGAGACAGCCTCAAACATTAAGTGCAGGTCCTGAAGAAAGGAGATGGTGTTTGAGCCTGAAGGAGGAACTGGATGTCAAGGAAGGAGTGCCACCTCTCTTTGTAGAATGGAACCCCCCCACCTCAGGTACAGCAGCTTCACAGACCGTAGACGCTTTCATCACTGTAGGCAATGTATAGAAAGAAGTCTTCTTCATGGTGTTCCTGAAGTAAAAGCAAAGGTGCAGGGGTTAAGGCAACTCGTTACTCGAACCATTTACCACCAATACATTCCTCAAGAATCACTTTAAGCATTCCCTGGTAATTCTAGATGCAGGAAAGAACCAAAAGTTCAAAGCCAAGGCAACTTAAGAACCTGACTGAAGCCGGGCAGTGGTGGCGAGCACACCTTTAATCCCAGCACTTGGGAGGCAGGCGGATTTCTGAGTTCAAGGCCAGCCTGGTCTACAGAGTCAGGACAGCCCAGGCTACAAAGAGAAACCCTGTCTCAAAACCCACCCCCTCCAAAAAAAGATCTTGACTGAAAATAAACTTGAGCCGGGCGGTGGTGGCGCAAGCCTTTAATCCCAGCACTTGGGAGGCAGAGGCAGGTGGATTTCTGAGTTCGAGGCCAGCCTGGTCTACAGAGTGAGTTCCAGGACAGCCAGGGCTATACAGAGAAACCCTGTCTCAAAAAAGCAAAAACAAAAAAAAAAAAACCCAAAAAAACAAAAAAAAAACAAAAAACAAAATAAACTTGAAGGTACAGATCATCTGTAAGCAATCATAGACACTAATCATGGTTCCTAGTACAAAAGGAATAAAAAGAAAAGCCAATCATTCTTATTCTCTCTCCTTTAAGAAGGGTTGATCCTGGCTGGGCAGTAGTGGCACACACCTTCAATCCCAGGGCTTTGGAGGCAGAGGCAGACGGAACTCTGTGAGTTGAAGACCAGCCTGGTTTACAGAGTGAGCTCCAGGACAACCAGGGCTATTACACAGAGAAACCCTGTCTCAAAAAATCAAAAAAGAAAAAGGTTGACCTCAAACTCACTATGCTATGTAGCCAGTGACTTCCAACTTGATACTACTGCCTCAGCCTCTCAAGTGTTTGCTCTGTGTATGTGGTGGTGGGATGTCTTTTAGGGGCTTTGTTTTTGAGATAGGGGCTCATTATGTAGCTCTGGCTGCCCTGGAACTCCCTGTGTAGAGCACACTGGCCTGGAATTCAGAGATCTACCTTCCTCTGCTCCCAGAGCACTGGAACTGATGCTCTGCATGACCATGCCCCATGTCCAGTGGTTTTGTGGGTTTAAAATTTGGGGGTTTTTTTTGTTTCATATTTGATTTTTTTTATTTATATTTATTTATTTATTTTAAGAAAGGGTCTCACTAAGTATCTCTGACTCATCAGGATAGGCTCAAACTCCAAGAGATCCACCAGCCTCTGACTCCTGAGTAATAGGATTAAAATTGTGCAGAAGCAGCTGTGCTTTGGACTTAAAGGATCAAAGGTGTGCACTACTATGCAGCTGTTATTCAGGGTGGGAACTTACAACACCATTAACCCCAGCACTCAAGAGGCAGAAGCAGGAAGATCTCTGAGTCTGAGGCCAGCCTGGTGTCGAGTTTAGGGCAGTGGCAGCGCACACCTTTTGTTAAACCCAACCCTAGGGAGGCAGAAGCAAGTGAATCTCTGGGCTAGCTTGGTCCACAGAGGGAGTTTCAGGGCAGCCAGGGTTACACAGAGAAACACTGTCTCCAAAAGAAAAGAACAAAAGACAATAACAACAACAACAAAAAAAAACACTCCTCAAACTCAGTCTATTCTTTGACATCTGGGACTCTTGGACGAGGGAGAGACTTCCTTAGCTGGGAAGAGTCCCAGTCAAAACAACTCCACTAGCTCATGCTTGTCTCTACTCCCACCGTCATTAAGATTCCAATCCAGGAGCCGGGTGGTGGTGGCGCACGCCTTTAATCCCAGCACTTGGGAGGCAGAGGCAGGTGGATTTCTGAGTTCGAGGCCAGCCTGGTCTACAGAGTGAGTTCCAGGACAGCCAGAACTACACAGAGAAATCCTGTCTCGAAAAACAAACAAACAAACAAAAACAAAACAAAACAAAACAAAAGATTCCAACCCAGGACTAGACTGACATTTTAAAGCTAGTAAGCCAGCAGGAACTGCTGGCCTTTACTTTCCTCTCCAAACATTGCCATTTCTTCCGAGGTATTATACCTGGTACAGCTGACCCATCGTGGCACTGGTGGGTGGAATGACATTGTTGACAAAGAAAAACAAGGCATCTTCTGCACGGAGATGAATTCGCTTCCGGATCAAGAAGTAGAATTGACCAACTGCCAAAAACAGGAGATGCAAGAAAGTCACAGAGGTCATAGGCGCCTCCAGAAAACAGCTGCCAGGTGAACCTCCTCCCACAGAGTTGGCAGGCCCACCCACAGAGAGGAACGTGCACATGGGCCAAGCGCCCACCTGTAAGGTCAGAAGGCACCAGGTATTTCTTTTTGTCCAGGTCTCCTATCCGAGCTTTGGGAGCTTTTTCCACTATCACCTGATAAAAAGAAGGTAAGAATGACAAGATATTAAAAAAACAAATACAGCGATATCGAGGAAGAACTCAAAGTACAATATTCCCTTGTACTGAAACCTATTGCAATCTCATTTCTCAATATTTATCCTTATATACGTGGTGCACACAGCGTTAGGTCCAGAGATTCTGGCATCACTAGCTTACCTAAATATTGAGAATTGATGCCAGAACGGCGCGTCACCATAACTACTTTCATCAGAGAATACAGGATTTTTTGTTTGGGTCAAAAATCTTCCTTAAATCTAGCTAGTTGGGAGGATGGCCACGAAAACTCTGGGTTGTCAAGCTCACTAAGGCCTCCATTCTGAGAAATGCCCAAGTCTCTCTCTCCCGTCCACATCTTAGTGCCAGCTCTACTTCAGGTGAGAGACCTTTGGTACTAGAGACAACAGAGTTCTAACCCCACGACAGACTGGAGCCTGACCTCGGCTTTCCCAGACTCAAGCATTGCTTGTGGCGACAGCGTCAGCGTCAGCGACGCTAGCCTCGGCCCTAGCTACTGTCCTTACCGGGACCCGGTCTGGGTATTTCTTTCGGATTTTCTCGCCCTCAGAGCGGCGCTTCTCGAACGGATGCTCCTCTTTGTACACGAACTTCATTCTCCGAGAACCGGGCTGGACCGAGCTGGGCTGAGGGAACCCAGGGGGGGGGCCGGGACAGGGGGCGGCGGCGGAGGCGGCTTCGACGAACAGGCTCAGCGGAGCGATCCACGAATTTGCGCCACTTCCCTATTCACCAACCCCGCCCCCGACCATCCGGACCAGCCCCGCCTGCTGACATACGCCACTAGCTCAGCTTACTAGCGCAGCTGGCATAGCGCAACCCGCAGCCTGGTCCTCTTACGCCTTCAGCGTAACTGCTTTGGAATCAATTTGTGGGTTACGCATATGACATCGCAGATAAGGGTGCTGTCGATTCAAGCCAACTGAAAACCCTTTCCCAGGTAGCCCCACAGTACAAAGTTGAGGACGAAACTAATACCAAGTGGCAGTCATGAGATTTAGTTCTGCAGTTCTCGGAAATTACGTTGGGGAAAAACAATTACAAGTCTATGTATTCATGAAACGTGTTGCTACGCTGAAGGTGGCCGTTGACACCAAAACAAAGTAGTACCCAAGACGTGGATACGGACACCATAAGACAGAAAGCAAAGAGATTTGCAGACACGCAGGGAATGCTCAAGGCTATGGCTTATGGGGGCCAATAGAAACTGCAAAAGTCCCAAAGATAGGGACTACTCCAGAGCGGAGGAACACATTTCGGGGTGTTGATAAAATCATGTGACCTCAGAAAAGAGCGGAGAA